TTTGTGAAGAAATTTTCTCTAATTTCTAGTCTAAACCTCCACTGGTGCAACATGAGGCTGTTTCCACTTGTTACCTGGGAGAAGGGGCCAACCGCACCTGGCTACACCCTCCTTTAAAGTAGTTGTAGAGCCATAAGATCCCCCAAGTCTCCTCACAGCCAAACACAGAATATTCTGGGTTAGAAGGGACCCACATCGATTGAATGGCCCATACAGGGATCAAACCCACAACCTTGGCATTACTAGCACCATATTCTAACTGAGTTAATCTCAGAGATACCACCCCTTGGCTCCTTCAGCCACTCATCAGATTTGTGCTCCAGCCCCTTCCACAGCTCCATCGCCCTTCTCTGGACACACCTCAATGTGTGTCTTGTAGTTAGGGGCCCAAAACTGACCCCAGGATTTGAGGTAGCTCACCAGGAATACAGGGGTACAATCACTGCCCTGGTCCTGCTGGCCACACTATTGCTGATGCAGGTCAGGATGCCATTGGCCTTCTTGGCCACCTGGGCACACACTGGCTCATGTTCAGCTGCTATCAATCACCACCCCCAGGGCCTTTTCCAGTGGGCAACTTTCCAGCCACCCTGCCCCAAAATCACCCAAAGCCATTGCAGCGCTTGATCTCACCCCAAGTCTTGGGAACTGCGGCAGTGGGGTGGGAGCAGGGAGGGGGCTGTGCTGCCCCTGCCGAGGCCTGGGAGTATCTCCTCATGCCTCAGGAATGTGGTTATGTCATGGCGAGTCCCCCACACGCCCCGCCGCAGCCTCCCAGCCGGCCGCCGGCCGACAGCTCTGGGAAGCGTCGTTACTGCTGAAATAGAGGCATAAATTTCTGCTGGCAGGACTCCTGGCTGTGAAAACTTGTAAGCCGTAACAACCACTCACTGCGACAAAGTTACTCCGACATTTCCCATGGTCCCAGTCCCATTCCCCAGAACCAGGGGCAGGAAGAGGGGGAAAAGGTTTTAAAAACTTTTGATTTTCCTTACTTAGCTGAGCATTACCGGAGGCGATATTTCTGACTGTGCATGAATCCTTCCTGTGAACTCATGGGGCATGACGCACCCAGTGGAGGGGAGAGCATGCCCAAGACAAGAGCGGCTGAAGTACACTCCTGCTGAGCTGCTCTTTCTGAGGATTTGTATTTCTTTTTCCAGACGAGGAGCCTTATTATTACAGAAAGAACATGAGATTTTTATGAGTGATTTAACAAATTAGTTTCTCAAATTGTTTGCAGCAGCACAAGAAATGTTGCAGTCATTAAAGTTCATAGAAAGTATCAAATGCTCCAGTGCCACAAAGCTTTACCCTGTGCAACAGAAACAAAGCAAAGTAACCCCTGACATGTTTAGACGTCTGACTCTGAAACGCTGTACTTCGCCTCTCCACAATACCCGAATGGCAACTCATCCTGCCCCTGTGTAGATTGGTAGAATGAGCTGGGAGCTGAACCAGCATAAACCCAGCTACAAACATGATTTTAAAAACAAACAACTAATTATTTCCATTCACCTCATTTAATACGGGCTCATGCAGAAATGCTGTTCGTCCAATAGTCCAAAGTATGTCACGTATTAAGAGCTAAAGAGTCCAACCCAATGAATGAGTCATCACCCAGTGGATGAAATCCCATATCTTCATGGCTGCTCATAAATAAGACAAGCTCAACTTTATAGTAAGTCATAAGTAAACAATGAACTATATGAAAATCAGACTCAGCTGTGTTGTAACTGCGTGGGCACAGTGCCCATGCAGAAATGAAAAGCGAATGTGATACCATCACATTTAGCTTTGAGGCTAAATTTGAAGCTGAAGCTCTTAAGAAGGGTTTTGATGCATGTAGTAGGGCAGTCAGACACCCAGACCTTTGAGGCCACTGCAAATGCCATTTGCAATAAACAACACATTATCTCAGCCATTAGCGCTTCTGAACCTCAGATCCCGATGGGCATATTTTCTGAAACTATCATCTGGTATCTTCTTGTGACTGCCCAACATCTCCAAGCAGTGCTCCTGTGTTCTCACAGCCTGCTCCTGCATCAGTGCTCTCTCCCAGGTGGAAATGAAAGGCAGCAAGAAGGTGTTCCTTCACCCTGGGATGAGCATCAGAACATCCTGTGCATCCCCCATAACTATACCCTGAGTACTGGGCTGGATTCACAGAACTGGCTGGGGTTTTCGGTTTGTTTGAACCAGCATTGTGAGAGAAGTCAGGAAGTAGCAGAAAGTATTGATCAGCCTCTGCCTTGCTATAAAATTAACAGCTTATAAAACTCGGTATTGAAATAACTGGAAGCCTGACCACACTGCAGACAGCACAGCAGAAGGGCCAGGCAAGAGAAGATGTGCTGACGGCACTGAGAAAGATGCTGGCATGTAGCAGTGAAGGGACCATGAAAGACAGTGAAAGACATAGCAGTGAAGGGACCATGAGGCAGCAGGGGCAGCTGAAGCCACCTCTAAGTTTGAGCTCCACCGTGCCACACAGGGAGGGTCTCCCCAGCCACAAGCAGCTCATGGGGCTGCAACCGGCTTTGCAGGGGGATTTACTTCAATAAAAACATCTTTCTTACTCCTGAGGAAGAGGAGTATTTAGCTATCTTGTCAAAGACTTTCAGAAATGAATGTTTTTCTCCTCCTCCTAATATCCTATTTGTATTTGGGTTAATGGTGCAGGTGGGATACTCTGAACATTGCAGGAAGCAAATCCTTGAATTTTAGGGAAACTGGGATGTGCTTGGATGTGCTAGAGAATAAATAAGGTTGACCATCTCAGACCATCATTAGATGTAACCATTAATGGCAGAGCTGCTATTGCCTGAAGAAAGTGCGCCAGGGGAAAGGTGCCAGACAAGAGAAACTGCCTTTGAAGGCTTTCAGGTTTGCATGGGCTTGGTGGCGCACTCTGATGTGATGTCCTGCTGCTTCCTCGCCCTAACCTTCTCTCAAGCACAATGGAGCAGCTCAGGCTGCCCCTAGGATAGCAGTAGGGCCAAGACAGTAGCTGTCTGGCTATAGCAAGGGAAGATACCAAAGCAGCTTTTCCCTGAGAGCACAAAGCTCCAGAATCTGCCAAAATACACAAGGACACAGACTGTCTCGTGGCTGTCCCTGCAGAGGCAGATCAGGATATCCATTCTACAGTGATGTGTCCAGACATGGGGGAGGGCTTTGAGATGCGTCACAAGAACTAAAGCCCAGAAGAGGGACAAGCCTGGTCACAGGCACTCAGTCCATCCCAGGGGATGCAGGGTTTCATGCTGGGGAATGGGGCCTGGCTCCCTTCCTCGTGACCTGCAATGACTGCATTTCTCTAAAAGGCTGAGAACAGTTGTGCCCTCTCAGGATTCCACAGATGATCTCTAAGTCCTCTCAGGAGACCTCCAGAGAGCTCCTCTGGCTCCCTGCCTTCCTGACAATCCTTGACCCAAGTGGCTCCAGCAGTCAGAGCAGGCAGGGAGGTTCCACGACCCCAGCTCAGGCTCTTCCCACCAAGGATGCTCTGATCAGGGAAGTTGTTTTGTTTTCTCAAGCCTGTTACTGTTGCAACAGGGCAAATCAGAGATGAAATCCAACCAGAGATGGGACTGCACAAACCCAGGTCACTACTTTCTGGGCAAGCAGAGGTCCTCTATATACATTCTCTTTTTAACTTTGGAAAAATTATTGTATTCTCTTAATAAAGTTCTGTAAATGGATGAATAATTTCCACAAAGGAAAGAATGTAAGACTTGCATCGGCACAACATTACTTCTAATCAAGTGATCTCTGCAATTCTCCAGAACAAGCAGAAATTCATATTTTCCATATGTAACAATCTTTGTCACCCAAAGCACTTTGTATTCAATAAAAATACCAGCTTTCATTAAAGATAAAAACCCTTTTGGTGCATAGTTTTCCTGGCATTGCACATCTCTGGTTCCCTCACTCGACATGTTTAGAATTAAATCACAAAACCTTAATTCACCCTCTAATGATCTGTTTGTTTCCAGATTCATATTCCCACAATATGTTTGCTGACAGCAGTTGGGCTCTTTGACAAAAGACAAGGAATTTTTCCCAACGATGTATATTTGCTTTGCTCTGCTGCATTACAGGGGAAGGGTGCAGGCTGTACAAGCTGTCACCAATAACGTGACTCTAAGACCAAGTGTAATTTATTTAGTACAAGCTAAATGTTTATACTAAGTGTTCTTTGTTCCGAACATTATCGCTTCAACATTGAGCTTCTTATGAAGAGAGTTGTGAGAAAGGTTGAGCCCTACTTTGAAAGGCTTTTTAAATTTAGCATCACTGTGACTTGGAGCCAAAGCCCCAGTGCATGCAGTTCTCAGGAGGAAGATGGCAAAAAGCTGCTCCCCTCAGTTTTAGGAACTTCAAAACTGTTCTTTTTGACTTTGTATTATGTGTTAGAACAGAATAAAAGCAAACCAATTCTTGAAAGGATGCGTTGTTTCAAAATAAATCCAAAATCTTACACCCCAAATAACACTGAATGTGGAACTTTGACATTACTGCACCTTTCTCCCACTCTTAAAATAATCTCTTCAAATTCATATTGATTTCATAAAGCACTTTGATCTCAACAGAAACAAAGCACATCGGGATGAAATCTGGTCCCACCAGTATGTCCTCAGCCTTTCTCATCTCCCCACTGATGGATGGGGCCTGGAAGGTGTCCCCATCTTGTGTCCACACACAGCCACACTCTAGGCAGCAGTGACAAGCAGCCATTATTTAATAAACAGGTGATACCCAAACACAGTGAAACTAAGTCCATGATATTTGGAGAGCCCTAGATGTGGTCTCTTCTAAAAGTAAAGTGAAAGTTCCTCTGTCAGAAGAATATCGGACTTTGTCAGTGGCATGAAAAATCTCATTCCATAGAAACACACTGGAAAACTGCATCCTGATGTGGTGTCTGCCACTCAGAAAGGACAGTGAGAAAAGGGTGAGCATCAAGGAGGATGATGGCTATGACATGGGAAACCCACCTTGTAGTGAAGGTCTTCAGGAGCCTGATCCGCTGCTGAGAACGTTGAGGCCAGATGTGGTCACGAGCTGAGGCACCTGCACGGAGAGAGCAATGTCAGAGGTGAGGGCTTCCCACTTCCTGGGGGAAAAGGGTTCATGGCAGAAAGCTGCAGCTAAGCAGCCATGCACTAGAGAAATATATATTCAAACAGGAGCAACTTGATCTTGTGAACAACTAACTGTACCCTTACCCATCCCTTATGGTAGATCCTCCATCTCTCATATGGAAGAATCAGTGTCAGATGTTTCTCTAAAACACATGTGATTTAAAATAGGAACAATTTAAGGTGGTTGTACCACCTTTTGTATTGTACCTCATCCCAGTCCCTGTTTCCTTGAGGGTGATTTGTCCCATGAATGATTCCAAGTTTTGCTCCTAGTTTCTAATTCCTAGAAAGAATTAACATTTCAGTATCACTCCCATTTTCACAGCAACTAGAACTATCCATATTTGACCATAGCAAAATATTTTAGACACAATAAATACAATATCTCTGTGTTTATCTGAAGAAAGGAAATCCTTTCTGTGGACTCCCCTTTGCTCCCTGCTGAGATGACTGCTCAGAAGTCTGCAGAATGCTGCAGTAGCGCACGAGGGTGTTTCTCTGGGGTGTGAAGCTGACCCTCCTCTGTTATAGATAACAGCTTTATGGCACAGGCATTGTTCTGCTCTACCAGTGCCTGTTTTCACAAGGTATTTAGTGAATAGGCTTTCAACTGCAAAAATACAGGCTGACATCAAGAAGGCAAATGCCCTTTGAGCTTGTGATTGCATGTTCACGTAGTTACGCTTATTTTCCTCGTTAACATATAGGAATCCCTTTTTTTTGTTATCATGCTTTATTTAATTTTAATAGGGTTTTTCATTGTATTTAAAAACGTAGAGGAAAACAGAAAAAAAAAATCCCATTGTTCTCCTACGTGTTTGTTTTCACTACAACTACTAAGAGGAAAAGCCCTTTACAAAAACAGGATACAGCAGACTCCTCTGCGCTGTGCACCCCCTCGCACACTCCGGGCACGGCTGCAGTGGTAATCCAGAGTCCATGGAAAGGCATAAGTAAATGAAAAACATCAATGGGAGTTTTATTACCCACTTGAATGGGAGTAGCGTTAAGTCCCTACTGAATAAACCCCACCTGCCTGGGCAGGTTCTGCTCCCCTCGGACAAATTGCCATCTACATACGGACATTTTTCTCTGTGACATCAATTACAGACGAGGGGCAGACAGGGATGTCTGCAGAGCAAACCCCACCACTGTAGGAAGGTGTTAAGCCAGTTAAGCCTCATGCCAAGAGCCATAGCATCCAGCATCCCTTCCCAGCAGTCCTAAGAGACGAATCACCAGGGCCCCATCCGCTGTCACCTACACCAGATGCTGCCTGGCCACAGGAGGTGCCCTCAGATTCCCATGGATCTCGCTGAGCAGCCACAGACTGTCTCTAGAGTGCCTTCAGGAGTGGGGCTTCCCACTGCATTTCTACTAATGACTTTTCAGAGCTCCTCTCTTAACATCCTGCATCCTCCTTTCCTCCCACTTGGATTATTGCTTCCCCTGCTGGGCTCTTGCCCAGTCGGTGGAGGGGTCTCTGGCTGTGCCGGCAGCTCCCAGGAAAAGGTGCTGGAGCTGAGGCAGGAGGACTCACAGGCTGCACTCACTGCAGAGCACATTCCTGTGGGCTGTTGTTAAGAAGATAATAAAAATTGCTGTTTTCTTTCTCTGCAGACATTAGCATTTGGAAGAGTTCATGCTTCCAAAGAATAACACTGACTTGTTCTCTGTGATACGGAAGAATAAATCAAGTGCAATTACCAGGAGATCTGCATTTCTGCAATCAAGAGTCTCATCTCTGGCCAGAAAGTACCTTTGGGGAATCGAGTTCTAGCGACTGGGAGGCCAGCAAAGAGCAATTTGAGCTGTTCTGACTCTCTAACATGGTGATTGCAGTTCCATTTGCTGGTCAGAAACTACCGCTTAGCAGCCATCCGCCTGGCAACCTCCTTCAAACACCATCCCGAGAGCATTTCAGTTACAAAAAAAACCCTCAAATTTTAGGGAAATATGTTTTCTGCTTTCTTTCTGAGGAAAAACATATAACGCCGTAAGAGTTGAGTCTACTCTTGTGGTGCGGGGAACGATATACCACTTTAGTTTTAATTTAAAGGGTTGTGGTTCTACTTGGTTTTCTTTTAAGTAAGTGTAAGCCTTATTTCTTCACCAGAAATTATCATGACTTTGGATTTAGCTATGATCTCTGAACAAGAAGAATTGTTTCTAAAACACAAAATGATTACATTTGATAATGTAAATATGATAAATGTTTATGCAAATCCTTAGGTAAGACTATACCACTTCATTACTGCAAAATAAACATTCTGATGCTGACCCTGACAATATGCTGACACTGTGTCTTTGAACCAGAGAGTCTTTGCTATCGCTCAGTAAAATGAAGAGCCAGGGAGACAACACAGACTTAACACAACAGGCTGTGCCTGACACTACTTAGAATCCGAACACAGTGTTTTCGGTTCAAGCGAACAAACTGCACAATTTCCATTTATATCAAAATCTTTCATTGTTTAGAAACTGTAAACCGCTTTCTGCATTTATTGGTAAATAGCTGATCATGATCAGAGGACAGGATTAAATAATGTGGCCATCATTCCTTCCTCATCAGGGAGAAATAAACGCAGAGTATCCTCCCTTGTTGCATGCAAGCAGTTCAATTACAAAACCATGCTGTTCCCAAACCCTCGGTATCCACCGACTAGGTGTCCCAAAAGGCAAGAAATCACAGTTCCCTTGGCAGTGTCAGGACAAGCTCACTTCGAGCAATCCCTTTTCTGAAAGCAGATTGGGGACAGCCCTCCCGAGGCTCCCTCCATCCCACGGACCCTCACACTCTGCCATCGCCCTCCAGTCCCAGCCCCGGGGGTCCCGCCGGAGCCAAGGGCAGGTCCCACATGGTGCCCAACCACGCTGCCCCTCGCACCCACCTACCGTGCGCTGCTCCCCGTGGCCCCACCGAGCCGGTGGATGGATGGAACTGCCGGGCTTGGCTGGGAGCTGCTGCTGTCCCAGCAGCGGGAGGTCACCAGGCTGCTGGTCTGATCTTCAGTTCGCTTTCCATCTGAAAACTTTAACTCCTTCACGCCCTGGAAGGCAAAATATCAGGAAATACTGTGGCGCTGTGCTTGTCCCTTGACAGGGGCACTGAGCACACCCTTGCCCCAGGCTGTAGAGAACAAGGACACCCAAGTGAGGCAAACCAGGACGTGGGGGGTCGGCGTGGACAGTTTTGCTCTGAGACTTCGGGGTGAGTGAGTTGCAGAGAAGCCCTTGGTGAGATTTTCCTCTTAAGGACTTACACCCATTAAGCCCTGTCCTGAAGTCTCCCATATTCCCACGCATTCCTGTGGCTGCCAAATCCCTGCCAGGGACCCCAGGGGCTTACACTTTGGAAGGGAAGGGGAAAACCTTTGACAGTGCTTCTTTTCCTTTCTCACCAAGCCCCTGGGAAATTCAAGGGGGTGGAAATCGCTTCTGGCAGAGGAAAAACCCAGATCTACAAGGGCGCACTGGGGAGTGGCCCTAAAACATCCCAGCCCCAGGCCTGCTGCCAGGAACCCCCAGACAGCCCTAGTCTGGCCATGCCCATGCCTGGGCAGCCACCTACCTCCTTGCTTTGATCAGACAGCGGTTCCTGGAATTGGGATTTTGTGGTCCAGCTGTCAAGATGCCTGTGCAAGAGCAGAGGGAAGAAGATGCCTCTGTTTTGTCCTCACAACCCACTGGGTTTCCAGCTCCCTGTGCATCAACCCTGGCCCCTGCACGTGGTACTACCATAATGCACAGGGCCAGTCACCAGGGACTGAAAATACTGCTATTTCCAGAAAGATGCATAAAATGCTTACATGATGATGTCAGTCCTGACCTCCATGTTCCTCCGGCACTCCTCTGCTGTTGAGCAATGGAAACACTTCCTGCGTTTCAAGTGGCTGTGTTCTGTCCCCCCAACCCCAGCTGCAGGCTCACTCTCACCTTCAGCCACCACGCTGTCCCCTGCAGCCTGTTCAGTGCTGGCAGATGGGAATTTTTAAGCTCCTGCCCCACAGGAAACTAAGCTAAATCTGGCTCTGCGCAAGGGTTCTTCAAACACCACTCGTTAGGTGTGAAATCATGACTCAGAACAAACCCCTGCTCTTGGAGCTGCTGCCACACGTGGGCTGCCCTCTGGCCGGGCTGCAGTAATGGGACAGGTGTGAGCACTTACCAGCCTCCTCTGAACGAGGGTGTGCCCGGTGGGGAGGCTGCAGGACTTGCAGGGAAGGCCACATGTGGCAGGGACAGGAGCATTTCATTTCAGGCAGCAGGGCCAAGCTGCACTGGAGGTTTTCTAACGACCCTAATGCACCCAAGGGTGCTGCAGTGCCCCGTGGGCACAGCACACGCTGTCCCGGGCACACTGGCACTCACTGTGCTGAGCCCACCCGCTGCCCACCCCTGCTCAGCCTCCACGGCCTCTCCAGTACACCAGCCCGTGCATCCACAGGAATCCATACAGGTCCTCACCACTGGTGACAAAGTGCTCAGAGCAAACAACAAACACTCCTGTAACTCACGGCTCTGATGCCAGCACGTCCCACCCTGTCCCCAGTGTCTGGGCTCCACTTGTGAGCTCCCCAGGCATGAGCTTAGCTGAGCCCCCCAGTCAATCCGATGCATTTTAGCCTCACATAAATCACATAACTCTCAGCCAGCCCCTCCAGAGTGGGTGCCCCCATCAGAGCCTCTTCCTGTCCAGGTGATTCTCCACGGACCATTGGCAGATGCCACAACCAGCTCCTTTCAGTTCCCAGGCACCACGAGTTACACAAAAGCTGACTTTTGTCCCAAATAAGAGGAGCCTGAGTGAGGGAGAGGGAGGGGAGAGGTGCCCCTCTGCCCTTTTTCCCCAGAGCAGGAGGCCCTGACTGCAGCATTGTAATTCCAGGTGAGGCACAGCATCCCTGGGGCTCCACCATCAACAGCGCATGAGATGGTGGCTGACACATAATCCCTGTGCAGACACCCTTACTGACAGGCTGCAGCAGCTTTTCATTCATCCCTGAGATCAGCAAAACCAACATTTAAGATAATTTTCCAAACCTTGCTCTGGAGGGAAAGCAGCTTTGGGGCTTTTGATTTCAAGTATGAAAAGTGTAATTACGGATAATGATGCCTCTTGCTGTAGTGCAAGCAAGAAACCTTTCTGTGTTTCATGGCTGGTCCCTGTGCCCTAAAGTAAAAAAGGGTTTCTGCTTTCATTACAAAACATATTTTTATTTCAGCCTGAAAGACCTTCTCATCTGGGAGCTCTCTAGTGGCCAGCAGTCTCTCCTGCATCTGGTGTTACTTAGCCAGCAATTTTTCTTCTGCATTGCCTGGGGGCCAAAAGCACTCCCCAAAAGGCAAAACAAGGGTTAAAATTGTTTAGAGAACAAAACTCTGTTAGAACGTTTTATTGGAGTCCAGGGAAATTACTTTTAAAATACATACACATAATACTAGCAGCAATAATAGACTTTTCAAAAGTCCACTGTAAAAGTAATGGTATTTCAGACTGGAGCCAGTGTTTCAAACCCCTCTGTATGGAGATGACATCAGACACATGGCTTATGTTTCCACTTTCTGCAGTGTGAAAGAAAATACACTGCTATGTACTTACCTTCAGCTGGTGTGTTTGCTAAACTCGGACAGTTTGGTCGGGTAACTGCTTGAACTCAGAAAGTTTCACTGTCAGGGAAAGCAAAAACTGTTTGGTTTTTTTTTTTTTAAATTTATAGGCTTCTCAGCTTGTATCAAAACCACCTTTCTCAGCCCTCACTCGGTTCTGCCACTGTGATGCTTAAAACTGCTATTATGTTTAATTTATTATAAGGTGATAAATTAATATAGGATATGGATGGTGAATGCAAGACCTGTCCCAGCAGCTGGCTCACAGAATTATATTACAAAATTTTAGGCTCACCTGCTTGACACCAATCTTCCACTTTCCCCTCTGGTTCTCGGAAGGATGGCAGTGCCAGTGCCAGGATGGGCAGCTCCAGCACTCAGACCAGCCTGGCCACAGCCCTTCCTGAGGTCAGCTAAGCAGTTGCAGTAAATGTGACTTCCCAGCTGAAAACAGAGCGGTTGGGTTACCCCACGTGCATCTCCTGGGAGCAGAAGCCAGGGCTCCTGTTTTTCACCTGCCCATGAGCGGGAGCCTGGTGGTCTGAGGGTGTCTGAGGGGACAGTTCAAGGAGGTGCAGTGCCCGCTGATTTGGACCCTGCCCAGGATACACAGGGTCCACGCACGTTATACATCACTTTTACTGAAGGATACCTGCTGTTGATGGCATTTTCTGGCAGGAGAGGGAACTCCTGAGGGCTGTTCCCTGTACAGAGACAGGCAGTGAGGAGGGGATCTGCTGGCATTCAGACTCTAAAGCTAGTCCGACACTTCCACATCATCTTAAAAAAAAGGCAAAAAATATAAATGGTAAGAACTACGATATCTGAGCAAACAGCACTAATGGATGTTTCCCTAATTCCTTAAGCTGCCTCCTATGTTTATAAATGAAAGAGAAACATCCAGAGGTTCCAAGTATGAGATTTCATTTCTTTGTTAACCAGAAATGCTCTGAATACTTCTCAGTCTCTGTTTTCAGATGTTGCCTTCTCACAGAAATGACCATCTAAGGCATTCATCTTTTTTATTAAAAATACGTATTTTCATTTTAAAAAAATTTAGTTTTAATTCTTATTACAGTCCTATGTTTTTCTTTTTTTGATATGGGTACAAACATTTTTCTAAACTTAAAGTAACCCTTCTCAGAAGGGGGTGGAGATCTGAAATATTTGTAAGATGTAGTTTTCTTTGATTTCCAAAGAATTTGATTCAAGTGTTAGAAAGCTGCAGAAAATAATCCCAGTAAGAGGAATAACCAAGAACCAGGTTATTCCTAAGCCTTCAAGACCCTTTCAAGTTGGTCTGAAAACCTCATTGTTAATCAAAATAATTGCATGAGAACCAATCAGGAAATCCTGAAACATTCAGAATGAAAACTTGTCGTTACAAATTCACCATCACGGCTAAAAAACAGATTATCTCTGTCAAAAGCTGTGGGAAAGTTTGCTTTGTAGCAGTAGGGGCAGAAATAAATATTTGCCCAGTCTGTTTTGTTTATCCTAAAAACATATATACATGTGCAGAGTTTCAATTAAACACTATTTTCTTTTCCCCCCATGTGCACATCATTTGAACTGCCCATGTGAGGAGCTTTTAAAGCATCTCTCCCAGGAGTCAAGGAGGTGGCTCCGGGCCAGCACGTTACTCAGACCATTACACCATGGCAGGGCAGGTCGGATTGCTTTGAATTTTAAGCCTCATTTCTTTGGTCTCACCTCTGAGTCCATTTAAACACAGCTGACCCCTTGCTATAATTTAAAGCAGATGCACGAAGTGCCACTGAAAACATACCTGTGGATGGGGCGGTTTTGCTGAGAAATGCCATGAATTCCCAAGTCTGAGGCTCGCTGGGGAGCAGGTGCAGGTGGAAGGGGTTCAGGTGTGGACAGGGTCTGTTTCACCAAGACAACAATTCCCTGTTACTGTATTTAAACCCTCTAAGAAATTGCATATTTTCTCAAGGAAGAGTGTTGTCTGGGCATGTCTGAGCCAGTGGAAGAGCTTGACCCCACAAGGGGACGATGAGCAGAGACCTCCTCTGCAATTGGTGGCAGGGAACACCTCTGGCATTCAGTTATGCCAAGATATCCATTCTTTGTTGTCCCTCAACACCCCAACTACTGCCCAGTAGTTGGATCCCCTTCCCTGCTAAGAGGGTCCATGGCCTCCACAGCCATCCCCCCCAGGGGTCCAGCATTTTCACCAATTTCAAGTCAAGTGACTGCTCAAGTCAGGGCCCAGCTTGCCTGGGGACACCGGGATAAAACAATAGTTCAAAGCACAGCTGTTTACTGCCCCACGGGGTCATGAGCCCCTCCTGTAGCTCAGGAACCCTCTGTGCTCACACCGCTTTTGCAAGGACACAGGCAGAGGTACTGATGCAAAAGGTCTCTGGTCTGTGCTCTCCTTTGCAACAGCTGTTTGCAAAGTTAGTGGTGCACTTTGTTTTGAAAGCTAGGTCCATACTTATAAACATGTCATTTAAAAACGCAGTTGTTAAAAGAAGAAGAAAACGGAAAGAAAAAAAAATCCAGCCCAGTGGTCGAACCCTCTTGATCCATTCCCCTGTGGCAACAGTGTTCAAACAGGTGAAAACAGGAGAAAAACAAGGGCTGGGAAAAGAACAAATGCTCACCACATTTAAAAACACCTGCTGGAAGTGACTGCAAGGGAAAATAGTTCAGAACATTTTTGAAAATACCTGAATGATGCCCATAATCCACTGCTGCTCCTGAGGGGCCTGGGGACCTCTGGGCATTTCACCCTGGGACCCCACCGGAGCATCCGCTGATCCCACTGGCATCACAATCCTTTGTGAGGTAGTAGGACTCTTTCAAAGTCTCTTC